GACGCAGGACGAGACGCAGGCTCACGACGCTCAGTAAGACCTCCAGTAGGACCAGTGTAGGGAGAAGGAGCAGGTAGGGGGGAGGCGGGCTGTAACTGTGACCGCGACTGGACATGCTGTGGACCCTCTAAGGGAGGAGCAGGACCAGTAGAGGGCGGGAGACCAAGAACCTGCTCAAGGAGCGGAACGAAGTACGGCCTCGGAACAGCGCCAACTCCAGCACCCTCAGAAGCACCAGCACCAGCAGCACCACCAGCGCCAACACCCCCAGCAGCTCCAGCTCCAGCAGCTCCAGCAGCACCAACTCCAGCAGGACCGTCAGCTACAGTACCGCCAGCAGCTCCGGCAGTACCTCCAGCAGGACTAACTCCAGCAGCCCCAGCAGCACCCCCAGTCCCAGCAGCTCCAGTACCGCTAGTACGAGCACCTCCAGGACCAGCAGCAACAGTAGTACCTCCAGCTCCAGCAGCACGGCTCTAGCGCCGGGCAAACCACTCGCGCAGCTCCTGCGGAGAGAGTAGCTCCCGCCTCGACGAAGCACCGCCAGAGGCCACACGAGCAGACCCAGCACCCCCAGGCTCCGCACCCCCAGGCTCCGTACCCCCAGGCTCAGCACCCCCAGGCTCCGCACTCCCAGGCTCAGCACCCCTAGATTCAGCACCCCCAGGCTCAGCACCCCCAGGCTCCGCACCCCCAGACTTAGCACCCCCAGACTCAGCACCCCCAGGCTCAGCACCCCTAGACTCAGCACCCGCAGCAGCACCAGAGTCAAAAGCTACCTCGACAGGATCGACTGCGTCTACCTGGGACACACCTGACGGGGCAGGACCCTGAGGGGGGAGAGGGTCTACCGGGGGAGGACCTGGTGCAAGGAAGAGCGGCGGGGGGGGGAGGGGCGCAGTGCGGTAGGGGAAGAGACGGTAGTAAGGCACCGACTCGTCAAAGGTGACGTCCTGGGAGGACAGAACACGGCACGAGGTGGGGTGGTAAAACTGCCAACCAGGCGCGTCAGGGGGGAAGCCAAGGAAGACGCAGGGAACAGCACGGGGGGACAGCTTGTCCGCAGACAAGTCGCGGACAAACGCCCGAGATCTCCAGATCCGAAACGCAGACGCATCGCCAACCTTCCCCGTCCACCGCAAGGTGGGGGAGGTCTCTGGCAAGGAGACCCGGGGCTGAAGGTTGAGCTGATGCGCTGCGTACTGAACCGCAAACGGCCACAGAAAATGGGGAGCAGCCGCATGGATCATGGACGTACGAGCGACGTCCATGACCATGCCAATGCGGCGCTCAGCAATCCCATTTTGCTGTGGAGAGGCCGGAAGCGTGAAGGTCTGGCGGATACCCTGTGCACGACAGAAGGCTCCCAGACGGGCAGAGGAAAACTCCCCGCCTCTGTCAGAGTGCAGACGCAGAACAGGAAAGTCCGAGCCGAAACTCTCTCTGAGCTGGAGACGAGCTGCGCGGATCCAGTCGATCAACACCTTGTCAGATTTATATGACATAGCTACTGTAGGCTATAGTGGGGTGGCACATATGGGGTATAGTTTTCTAGGGTTTGCTTTTTGTACCCAACTTTCACTTAGTCATTTCATTCCTCGTTTCTTCTCATGGTATCGAGCAGGTTCCCTAGTGGGAACGATTCCTAGGGCCCACCACCACGAATTTTTTTTTTTTTTTTTCCTGCCCGGAGCGCGTTTTGCTCCGGCCCGAGTCGCGCCGCCCCTACGGCCCTTCGCGCCGCCCTTTAGGCCCGTCGCGCCCGTCGCGCCCGTCGCGCCCGTCGCGCCCGTCGCGCCCGTCGCGCCCGTCGCGCCCATCGCCACCTTACGCGGCCCCGCCACCTACCTTCGCGGCCCCGCCACCTACCTGTGCGGCCCCGCCACCTACCTTCGCGGCCCCGCTATCTAACTGTGCGGCCCCGCCACCTACCTCCGCGGCCCCGCCACCTACCTGTGCGGCCCCGCCACCTACCTTCGCGGCCCCGCCACCTACCTGTGCGGCCCCGCCACCTACCTCCGCGGCCCCGCCACCTACCTGTGCGGCCCCGCCACCTACCTTTGCGGCCCCGCCACCTCACTGTGCGGCCCCGCCACCTACCTCCGCGGCCCCGCCACCTACCTGTGTGGCCCCGCCACCTACCTCCGCGGCCCCGCCACTTGCCTGTGCGGCCCCGCCATCTACCAGCGGCCCCGCCACCTACATGCGGCCCCGCCACCTACTAGCGGCCCCGCCACCTACCTGCGGCCCCGCCACCTACCTTTGCGGCCCCGCCGCCTCCTCTCAGCGGCCCCGCCGCCTCCTCCCAGCGGCCCCGGACGCCGCCCTCTCAGCGGCCCCGCCGAGCCGCCCAGCAGCCAAGCCGCCCAGCCGCCGAGCCGCCCAGCAGCCGAGCCGCCCAGCAGCCGAGCCGCCCAGCAGCCGAGCCGCCCAGCAGCCGAGCCGCCGAGCCGCCCAGCAGCCGAGCCGCCGAGCCGCCCAGCAGCCGAGCCGCCGAGCCGCCCTACAGCCGAGCCACCCGAGCCGCCCTGTCCGGTAAGAGCAGCGCCCCTTTCACAGCACTGCCCTCAACCTACTGTTTGCGCTGCTAGTCTACTGCTGTCATGGCTACCCCTAGTGTCCTCGCTTTTGATGCTGAGGGTCGGGCCATTGACTTTGACGTCTGGATAGATGACCTGCAGCTTTTCTTACAGTGCGACAGGGCAGACGGCCTCTCCCTCTTTGACCTCACTTCTGGTGCCTCTCCTGCCGCCGCTGCTGATGCTGACGCCACTGTTCGCTCACAGTGGGCCACGCGCGATGCTGCTGCACGTCTTGCTGTGCGTCGCCACCTGCCTACCTCTGAGCGTGCGCACTTTAGCCAGTACAAGAGTGCTCACACCTTGTACGACGCTGTAGTTGCGCGCTACTCCTCCCCTGCCACTGCTGCGCTTAGCCGCCTCATGCTACCGTACCTCTTCCCTGACCTTGCTGCCTTTCCCACAGTCGCTGACCTCATTACGCACCTCCGCACTAGTGACACTCGCTACCGCGCTGCGCTTCCTGCTGAGTTCTGCGCCAAGAACCCCCCCCCCATGTACATCACCCTCTACTACATAGTCACCCGGCTCCCTGACTCCCTTCGCGTAGTCAGGGACCACTTCCTCTCTGTTTGCCCCACCACTCTCACCATTGACCTCCTCGAGAAGTCCCTCCTAGCAGCAGAGAAGAGCATAGTAGCTGTAGGAGCCTCTTGTGGTGACCCTCGCACCCCCATCTTTGAGGGGTGTTCCCCCTCCCCCCTTTTGCCCTCTGTTGCCTCTGCTGCTGCGGCCGACCTCGTTGGGCTTGAGTCGGTCGGTGCGGCGTCTACCCCTAGCGGGAGACGCCGCCCTGGCAAGGGCAAGGGGGGCAGGGGCACTGGAGGAGCTAGCGGGGGCGGTGGAGGCGGCGGTGGAGGCGGTGGAGGGGGTGGGGGTGGCGGTGGGGGTGGTGGCGGGGGTGGAGGTGTCGGTGGTGGCAGTGGAGGCGGAGGCGGCGGCGGCGGTGGCGGTGGGAGCGGAGGTGGCGGCGGTGGAGGAGGAGGCGGCGGAGGAGGTGGAGCTGGTCGGGGTGGCGCTGCGCAGAGAGTCGGCTCCGGTGGTGGTCAGCGCCAGCAGCAGCAGCAGCAGCAGCAGCAGCGCACTCGTGACATCCCCTCCCCTCAGCAGCTCCGTGAGTGGTACGCTGCACGCCAGAGGGGTGGGGGTACTGGTCCGTGCACCTACGTCCTCCGCACCGGCGACCGCGCGGGTGAGCAGTGCGGGGGTGCGCACTCCACCCAGCGCTGCTTTGGCCGCCTGACGGACGCTTGGCGTCACCAGTTCCCTGAGGCCACTGAGATCCCCCGCTGGGGTGAGCTGTCTAGGGCGGGTGTGGCTGTCTTTGACCTTGACTTTGATGCTATTCTTGCTGCCATGTATACTGTGACTATTAGTGATGAGGGTGACTGTTACCGGTGTTTTCCGCCCGACCCGGGCATTGAGACTGCTGCTCTAGGTACTGGTGAGGCTGCTGCTCTAGGTGCTAGCAAGGCTGCTGCTCTAGGTGCGTCTGCTCCCTCAGGTGCTGGTGAGTCTGCTCTCTCAGGTTCTGCGTCGGCCTCGGCCTCCCACACCTTCACCCTTGACTCGGGGGCTTCTCGCTCCTTCTTTCGAGACCGCACCACACTCACGCCGCTTGGCCGGCCAGTTGCGGTCTCTCTGGCAGACCCCTCTGGGGGTCCTGTCCTTGCTCACTTCTCCACTGTCCTCCCGTGTCCGGCGGCCCCCTCTGGCACCCTGTCTGGTCTTTACCTCCCCTCGTTCTCTACGAACTTGGTGAGTGGTGCTGACCTACAGGATGCGGGGGTTCACCAGTTCACTCCTGGGAGTCAGCGGGTGACCCACTGCACGGACGCTCGGACTGGCCGACACCTGGCCACGTTTACCCGTCGGCCGGGGTCGAGCCTGTACACCCTGACCACTGCGTCTCCTCCAGTCTGTTATAGTCACAATAGGCTTGAATGTGCCTAAAACGAAAGATAGAGAGCACAGACGGATTTCTGCATAGCGGCTTCAAACGTTGATAGCGTTCTGCTCACAGCTGCAAATGACTTGATTAAAATTGGATCTGGAGCGTCTTCACGTCGTCTACAATTAGCAATTTAGATTGCACGATTTGATAAAGAATTGACGACACAGCGTCGGTTTGAACGAACGGTACTATGGCAGCCACTATAGTCTTAGAACACAAGATAGGAAGAGTTACGAGTTGGGAATGACTCCCAGCTCCTACAAACCCCAAGAGCCGAGGTACAGTGATGTGGAACAGTGCCACACTGTCCCCAACCACGAAGGGTCTCGAAACTACCCTCCACAAGGGCCTACACCAAGAGAAATGTTACACTACACAAAGTAATGCAACTATTCTCACTATCTTAAAGTTTACCCTTTTGGAGAGCTTCGAAATAACTTGAATCTTGAAACCAAGGCTCTGGTTCTTCAAGGTAAATTCTTCCTTGAGTTCTTGGAAGTCTGCTGCGCACACCTGCGACACGCCGAACGTTCCACACACGACAAAATAGAAAACTGCACACGACACGCAAACGACGACGTGACACGCGACTAGCGATAACTCGCCATTGACTCGACGCACACATTCAAAATCATGCTTCATCATACACACTCTATTGTAAACGTGAAATATATATTATTTCATGCCCTCATACCATTCCATGCACACACGCATGCACGCACACGGACAACAAGCCGAATGCAAACTGTAGGGTTGCACCAACAAACTCCCCCTCGGATTGTTGGCCTTAGGATCTCGCTCTCTCAGTTCAGAGCCATCCCAGCCAGCTTGCAACACTTCCAATGCTGCTGCTCCACCAGCCTGCTGCCCCTTGGTCATCATGTCAGCCGGCTGCCCCGTGGTCTTCACGTAGCGCAACTCAACTTCACCCGCGGTTACCATGCTCCTCGTCCAATGCCACTTCACGCTCATGTGCTTGGTGAGGCCATGCAGCACAGGGTTCTTAGCAAGAGCAATGGCACCCTGGCTGTCACAGTAGAGTGGGGTAGGTCCTTGCTGCTCCTCCCCCAATTCAGCCAACAAACGCCGCTGCCACACAATCTCTCGTACGGCACGGAAGAGTGCCATATACTCGGACTCCACCGAGCTCAATGCTTGATCCACCTGCTTCTTGCTCTCCCAAGCAGTTGGGCCTCCACCAACACAGCAAATGAACCCTCCAACAATTGTCATGTCCTCTGGTTCTGATGCAAAAGAAGCATCCGAGAATGCGGTGAGGAACAAACGCCCGGGTTCAACACCATCCGCGCCCTTTTGGCGCCTTTGCGCCGCCGCCGAATATTGCAGCCCAACGGTCGGTGTTTGGCCAAGATACTTGGCCACTCTCATTCCAGCTGCTACCTGCTCCTCATTAGGGCATTGAACAACCCTAGCCAACTGTCCGGTAGCAAACGCGACGTCCGGTCGGGTGTTTACCGCCGCGTACATGAGGCTGCCCACCAACGAGTGAAAACGGCGCCTCTCCTCTTCACCAACGCTCTCCTCCTCTGGTCCCTTCACACACTTGAAACCAGAGGGAAAGGGTGTAGCCACATGGCCTTCACTCTGCCCAAAGTTGGCAGCCAATGCCTCCAGGTACTTCCGTTGATGCACCCGCATGCACCGCTTCTCCACATCTCGTTCGATGTGGAGCCCAAGGTAGAAGCTCACGTCACCAAGGGCCTTGCACTTGAACTTGTCTTGAAGCTTCAGCATCACCTCCTTCACAAGGTCAGAAGAGGGTGAGAAAATGAGGATGTCATCCACATAAACCACCATGAAACTCCTCTGCTCCCCCTCGCCAAGCATGAACAAGGAGTGATCGGCCGTTGAGGGAGTGAAGCCGATCCCCTCCAACACTTCGCGCAGCTTCATGTACCATTGCCTAGGGGCCTGCTTCAGCCCATAGAGGGCCTTCTTCAGCTTCCACACTCTGCCACTACCATCATCAAACCCCTCTGGCTGCGCCATAAAAATCTCCTCCTCAAGGATGCCGTTAAGGAATGCCGTTACGATGTCCATTTGCTTTACTACCCATCCTTTGATGGCGGCTCCCGCGAATAGGGTTCGCAGCGTCGTCGGCTTCACCACAGGGGCAAACAGCTCCTTGAAGTCCACCTTCTCCTTCTGCTGGTACCCCTTGGCTACAAGCCTAGACTTGTAGCGCTCGATCTTGCCGTCGGCATCCGACTTGATTTTGAAGAGCCACTTGGACGTTATCGCCGTACGCCCCTCCGGTAGCTCCACCAATTCAAACGTGTCATTCTCCTCGATGCTCTTCAGCTCACTCTCCATTGCCTTCTTCCACTCCTCAGCGTCACTACTCTCCAAGGCCTCCTTGAGAGTTGCTGGTTCCCCCGGCATCTCAGCCGGAGAGAAGAACGCGAAGGCACACTCCTCGTAGTCACTCTCCTTGTCATCTCCAACTATAAGTGCCGCTCCGGCCAGAGCTGACTTGGCTGGCTTTCCCAATGCATCATAGGTCAGCCTATTAGGGGCTTGGATTCTCCTCTTGCCCCTTCCTTCCTCCTCAGCTGCAGGGACATGAAGGCCTTGGCGTTGCTGCGGGGTGACTCGGATCCGTGGAGCACTCGTAGTGCGAGAAGGAAGTGTCGGTGCACGCTCGCTCACTTGCTGCACCTCCTCCTCTTCTTCCTCTGCATTCTTGGCCTCCTCTCCCCCATTCACAAGGGAAGATTGCCTTGTGGTGGTGCTGCCGCTGCTCAGCTCCAAGGGCAGCTCCACATGCTCCAAACCGGAACTCTTCACCTCCCCAAACCGCATGCCTATCTTCGCCTCATTCTCCGCCTTCCAATCCTTGTACATCAGATTCTCCATGAATTTACAGTCCCTGCTCACCAAGAATTTCTTGGTGAATGGGTCCCAAAGAAGCCATCCCTTGCTGTTTTGAGCCATGCCCAAGTGCACGGCCCACACCGCCTTGGCACCAAGCTTGTTGTGCCGAAGATGCTTAGGCACGAGCGCCATGCACATGCACCCGAACACCCGAAGCATATCCACCTTTGGCTTCCTTCCTAGCCACTCCACATAGGGCACCCATTTGTCTGCTCCCACATGAGTCAAGGCTCTGTTCTTGGCCACACACGCGCTCCGCACCGCATCAGGCCAGAAATAGTCGGGTAGCCCGGCTTCAATGAGCAACCCGCGTGCCGCCTCCGTGATTGTGCGGTTCGCTCGCTCGGCGATGCCGTTCATTGCAGGGGAGTATGGCATGGTGAGGGAGTGCCGAATACCATTCTTCTTCAGCCACAACCCAAACTCCTTGCTCAGGAACTCTCCCCCTCGATCGGTGCGGATTGACTTGACTAGACGGTCTTGTTGCCGCTCCACCATCGGGAACCAATCCGTCTTCAACGTTTCAGCCACGTCGCTCTTCTTGGCCAGCACGTACACCCAAGTCATGCGGGTGTAGACGTCGACAATGGTGAGAAAATACTCAGCTCCAGCAGCTCCAAGCTTCAGGGGGCCCACCACGTCCATCACCACCTCATCAAGCGGTGCCTTTGCCGTTGCCTCCGAACTAGGGAACGGAAACCGGGTGAACTTGGCTTGAATGCACGTCGGGCAGCCAAGCACCTCATCGGGCTCCCCCTTCACACGTATGCCAGCAACCATCTCATTCTTCACTAGCTGCTGCAAGATGGGCAGGGCCACATGCCCCATGCGCCGATGCAAGGTGAGCCAATCACACTCCCCCGTAGCCGAAGTTGGATTGGAGAATGCCGCGCTCGCAATAGCGCCCCACATACTCTCTCCGTAGTCCTCCTCCGCTGCTGCCTCTGGGTTCTCCTCACCCTTTTGCTGCTCCTTGGTTGCTGCACCACTCTCCTTAGGTTCACTAAACTTGCTGGTCCCTCCAGGTTTGCTCTTCTTGAGCTCATTCTCCTTAGCGCGACCGTTCGCGCCATCGTCGCTACCGACCGCTCCATCCTTGGTGCTGATGCTTGCTGCCACTTGCCTCTCCTTAGGCATAGGGACCACTGGGATCTGCCACATCTCGTTGTAGACATCCCTGTCCTCATGAAGGTCCCAAAGAATTCGATCGCCAAGCCTTGCGGTGTAGGTCTTGGCTCCCTTCGAGTTCGTGTCCATGCCGGCCTTTGCCAACCGCCGCACGGAAATCAGGTTTGCAGCAAGGCTGGGCACCCAAAGCACGTTCTTGAGGCCCACCATCTTCCCATCAGCACCCTTGAACATGGCCTTGCCCATGCCTTTCACCTCTGCTCGCTGCCCCAAAGCCGATGTGACATGCTTCACCGGTGACGGCTCGAGTTCGGTGAGCAAGTCCGGGCGAGGTGTCATGCTATAGGTAGCGCCACTATCAATCACCCAATAGTCCAGGGGGTGTAGGGTCACCTTCCCCACAGCTGCTGGCTCCTCAAAGCCTTCATCCTTCTCTGGACCAGCCGGTACTTGCGTCGACACGAAGTAGAATAGACCCGGGTATCGACCGTCGCTCGGGTCCTTGTCGTTGTCTCCGCTCTTCATGTTTGCAGCTCCGCCACCGCGACCGCCACGGCCTCCACGGCCTCTTCCTCTCCCTCCACCTGCTCCTCTACCCTCTTGGTCTTGAGCAGGGGTCCAACCATCAGGGAGTTTGTAGCAGTCGCGCCACATGTGTCCGCTCTTGTGGCAATAGTGACACTCGCCGTCGAATCGGCCGCGACCGCGTCCGTAGCTCTTGTCGTCGCTGCCGTAACCGCCACTCCTGCGGCCTCCGCCGAAGTTGCTGCCACCAAACCTTCCTCCCCCTCGTCCTCTGCCTCTTCCTCGACCATATCTACGGCCGATGCTCGCTGCCCCAGCGCCATCCGCACTCGCCAACTCACGGCGGCGGAAATCCTCTTGAAGGATAGCTCGCTTCACGTCTTCAAGCGAGAGGCGGGGCAAGTCGCGATTAAGGTTGATGATGAGCGAGGACCATGACTCTGGGAGTAAGGCCAGCAACTTGGTCTTCTTTTGGAGCTCACTGTAGTTCAAATCAGCTCCCTCAAGCCGCGTCAACAAGTCGAAGAATTTCTGCACCCCTTCTTCAACCGCTTCGTTTTCTTCAATTCGTAGTGCCGCCATTTGCCGTTCCAACACCACCGCTACCGCCGCTGTTGCAGGAGCATGTACACCCTTGAGAGCAGCCCATGCCTTTGGTCCTTTCTCTGGTTCACGCTGGAATGGCTTGATGTGACGGATCTGACTGCTCCCCAACGCTTGCCCAAGTAAGAGATAGCCTTGTGCGCTCTTCCGCACCCACGGGCTCTTCTCCGGGTCGTTCTCGGGGCGCTTCTCCGTTCCTTCCATCACCTCCAGCAGGTCATAGTGGTCAAAGATGTTCTCCATCTTGAAGGACCATTCAGCAAAGTTGTCACCGTTGAACTTGTCAAGCCCAAACACCCTAGGCTCATCCCTAGGTGGGCCAAGACTTGGTTGCATGGGCGCCATGGCTGAATCACGGGGTTGGCCTTGAGCTTGAGCTTCTCCACTGCCACCAGCACCTCTGCCACCCCTTTCCTCAGGTCCAGACATTGTCGAAACTGCTCCAAGGGGCTCTGATACCACTTGTTATAGTCACAATAGGCTTGAATGTGCCTAAAACGAAAGATAGAGAGCACAGACGGATTTCTGCATAGCGGCTTCAAACGTTGATAGCGTTCTGCTCACAGCTGCAAATGACTTGATTCAAATTGGATCTGGAGCGTCTTCACGTCGTCTACAATTAGCAATTTAGATTGCACGATTTGATAAAGAATTGACGACACAGCGTCGGTTTGAACGAACGGTACTATGGCAGCCACTATAGTCTTAGAACACAAGATAGGAAGAGTTACGAGTTGGGAATGACTCCCAGCTCCTACAAACCCCAAGAGCCGAGGTACAGTGATGTGGAACAGTGCCACACTGTCCCCAACCACGAAGGGTCTCGAAACTACCCTCCACAAGGGCCTACACCAAGAGAAATGTTACACTACACAAAGTAATGCAACTATTCTCACTATCTTAAAGTTTACCCTTTTGGAGAGCTTCGAAATAACTTGAATCTTGAAACCAAGGCTCTGGTTCTTCAAGGTAAATTCTTCCTTGAGTTCTTGGAAGTCTGCTGCGCACACCTGCGACACGCCGAACGTTCCACACACGACAAAATAGAAAACTGCACACGACACGCAAACGACGACGTGACACGCGACTAGCGATAACTCGCCATTGACTCGACGCACACATTCAAAATCATGCTTCATCATACACACTCTATTGTAAACGTGAAATATATATTATTTCATGCCCTCATACCATTCCATGCACACACGCATGCACGCACACGGACAACAAGCCGAATGCAAACCGTAGGGTTGCACCAACACAGTCACTGCGTCTGGTCAGGTAGCTGCGTCAGGTCAGGTGTTTGCTGCAGCGTCCAGGTCTGGTCCTGAGTCTGCCCCCTGTTCGTGTCGCCTCCTGTCTCACGAGACTCTCCTCTGGCACCACCGCCTTGGTCACCCCTCCCTGCTTCGTCTCCGAGGCATGGCCTCCCGTGTCCTTGTCTCTGGTCTTCCCCGGTCCCTCCCTCCCCTTCCTCCGGGGCCTGGCCCTACCTGCGTCCCCTGTGTCGAGGGGCGGCAGCGGGCTGCCCCTCACTCCTCCCAGTTTCCTCCGACAGAGGCCCCGCTGCAGACGCTTCACATGGACGTGTGGGGCCCGGCCCGCGTCCGTGGACAGGGTCACGAGCGCTACTTCCTGCTGGTGGTTGACGACTACTCGCGTTACACCACAGTCTTCCCCTTGCGCAGCAAGGGTGATGTCACTGAGGTGTTGATCGACTGGATCCGCGCAGCTCGTCTCCAGCTCAGGCAGAGCTTCGGTTCGGACTTTCCTGTTCTGCGTCTGCACTCTGACAGAGGTGGAGAGTTCTCCTCTGGCCTTCTGCGAGCCTACTGTCGAGCACGAGGCATCCGCCAGACCTTCACGCTTCCGGACTCTCCACAGCAAAATGGGATTGCTGAGCACCGCATTGGCATGGTCATGGACGTCGCCCGTACGTCCATGATGCATGCGGCTGCCCCCCATTTTCTGTGGCCGTTTGCGGTTCGGTACGCGGCGCATCAGATCAACCTTCACCCTAGGGTCTCCAGACCGGAGACCTCCCCTGCTTTGCTGTGGACGGGGAAGGTTGGCGATGCGTCTGCGTTCCGTGTCTGGGGATCTCGAACGTTTGTCCGCGACTTGTCTGCGGACAAGCTGTCCCCTCGTGCTGCTCCTTGCGTCTTCCTTGGCTTCCCCCCTGACGCGCCAGGGTGGCAGTTCTACCACCCCACCTCTCGCCGTGTTCTGTCCTCCCAAAACGTCACGTTTGACGAGTCGGTCCCCTACTACCGCCTCTTCCCCTACCGCACTCCGTCCCTCCCCCCACCACCGCTCTTCCTTGTGCCAGGTCCCCCCCCGGTAGACCCCCTCCCCCCTCAGGGTCCTGCCCCTTCAGGTGTGTCCCAGGTAGACGCAGTCGAGCCTGTCGAGGTTACTGGTGACTCTGGTGCTGCTGAGGGTGCTGAGCCTGGGGGTGCTGACTCTGGGGGTGCTGAGCGTGTGGGTGCTACGCCTGGGGGTGCTTAGCCTGAGGGTGCTACTTCTGGGGGTGCTGAGCCTGGGGGTGCTGAGCCTGGAGGTGCTACTACTGGAGGTGCTGAGCCTGGGGGTGCTGAGCCTGGGGGTGCTGAGCCTGGGGGTGCTACGCCTGGAGGTGCTGGGCCTGGGGGTGTGGAGCCTGAGGGAGCTGGGCCTGCTTGTGTGGCGTCTGGCGGTGCTGAGCCTGGAGGTTCTCCGGGTGCTTCGTCTCGGCGGGAGCCACTCTCTCCACAGGAGCTGCGCGAGTGGTTTGCCCGGTGCTGGAGGCGTGCTGCTGGAGCTGGAGGTTCTTCGGCTACTGAGGGTGCTGGTGCCGCGGGTCCCGGAGGTGCTCGTACTGGGAGTACTGGAGCTGCTGGGCCTGCGGGTACGACTGGAGCTGGAGCTGCTGAGGGTGTTGACGCTGAGGCTACTGCTGTCGGTCCTGGAGGCGGGCCTGCTGGGGGTGCTACTGGTGCTGCTGGAGGTACTGGAGCTGGAGTTGCTGCTGGCGCTGGTGCTGCCGCTTGGGGTACTGGTGCTGTCCCTGCTGTGTCTGGAGTCGCCGCGCGGCCTCGGCCGTACTTCGTTCCGCTCCTTCAGCAGGTTCTTGGTCTCCTGCCTTCTACTGGCCCTCCTCCTCCCTTAGAGTGTCCACAGCCTGTCCTGTCACAGTTACAGCTACAGCCGGCCTCCCCACTGCCCGCTCCTTCTCCCTACACTGGTCCTACTGGAGGTCTTGCTGAGCGTCGTGAGCCTGCGTCGCGTCCTGCGTCGCCTGTCCGTACTGCTCGCGCTAGTGGTCGTGGTTCGCGTCAGCGTCCTCCTCCTGTCCCTGGCACGCACCGGATGTCTCTGCGTCCGTCCACTGCTCCTCTGCGTGCCCCTTTGCCTTCTCCTCCTGAGTCCTCTCTTCCTGCTCTTCCCGACCCAGAGTCGGACTCTCTTCGTGCTGCCAGTCCTACTGTCACGCGTCTCCTTGCTACTGTCGTCACTGACCCTTCCTTTGCGTCCACTGCTGCGTCTGCCCTAGTTGCTGAGCTCGTTGACTTTGCTGCTCGCTGTCGTCTAGACTACGCTGCTTGTCTTGTCGCTGAGTCTGAGTCTGTCTGTCCTCCGTCCGTCGGGGGTGAGTGTGCCCTTGGCACGGACGTCCTTGAGGACAGGCAGGAGGAGTTCCAGTGTTTGGCTGCTGCTTCACCTCATCTCGTGTCCGTACTGCTTACCCCTGAGGGAGACCCGGATGCACTTGACATCCCGACTCCGCGCTCTTACGCGGAGGCGATAGAGGGTCCCTACTCCTCTCAGTGGCAGGCAGCTATGGACACAGAGATGGCTTCCTGGAAGTCCACAGGTACCTACGTTGACGAGGTTCCCCCGCCTGGGGCGAACATCGTCAGTGGCATGTGGATTTTCAGGGTGAAGCGGCCGCCGGGTTCTCCGCCTGTCTTCAAGGCGCGTTACGTGGCTCGTGGCTTCAGTCAGCGGCAGGGAGTTGACTACTTTCAGACCTTCTCTCCCACCCCGAAGATGACCACTCTTCGGGTACTGCTGCACATAGCTGCTCACCGCGACTACGAGCTGCACTCTCTTGACTTCAGCACTGCTTTCTTGCAGGGCGGCCTGCACGAGGAGATCTGGCTGCGTCGCCCACCTGGCTTCACTGGGTCTTTTCCTCCTGGCACCCAGTGGAGCCTCTGGCGGCCAGTCTACGGTCTCCGCCAGGCACCGCGTGAGTGGCACGACACACTGAGGACTACACTTGCGGCTCTTGGGTTTGCTCCCTCTACTGCCGACCCGTCGCTGTTTCTGCGCACCGACACCTCTTTGCCGCCGTTCTACATCCTCGTGTACGTCGACGACTTGGTCTTTGCCACAGCTGACACTGCTGGACTCGCCCACGTGAAGTCCGAGCTGCAGAAGAGACACACGTGCACAGACCTGGGTGAACTGCGCAGCTACCTTGGCTTGCAGATCACCCGGGACAGAGCACACCGCACCATTACCCTGACTCAGTCACACATGGTGCAGCAGGTCCTTCAGCGCTTCGGCTTCACGTACTCCTCGCCTCAGGCCACTCCTCTGCCTACTCGCCACTCGCTCTCAGCTCTGCCTTCGGATGAGTCCGTAGAGTCGAGTGGCCCGTACCCAGAGCTTGTTGGCTGCCTCATGTACCTGATGACCTGCACACGACCTGACCTCGCATACCCTCTTAGCATTCTCGCACGCTATGTTGCTCCTGGGAGACACAGACCGGAGCACATGGCTGCAGCGAAGAGGGTGTTGCGTTACTTGTGCAGTACGTCGGGCATGGGGCTTGTGCTTGGAGGGCAGAGTCCAGTGGTCCTCACTGGGCACGCAGACGCTTCTTGGGCTGACGACCAGGCTACGCAGCGGTCGTCACAGGGTTACACCTTCAGCCTTGGTTCCGGCTCTGTTTCGTGGCGGGCTACCCGCTCGTCTTCTGTTCTCGGCTCCAGTTGTGAGGCTGAGATCTACGCCGGGGCCATGGCTGCACAGGAGCTTCGCTGGCTCACCTACCTGCTGACTGACCTCGGAGAGCCGCCTCGTTCTCCTCCAGTGCTGTACGTAGACAACAAGGCCATGCTGGCCTTGTGTCGAGAGCAGAGACTGGAGCACAGAACGAAGCACATTGCTCTCCGCTACTTCCTTGCTCGTGAGCTACAGCAGCGAGGTCAGCTGCGGCTTGCGTACGTGGCCTCTCAGGCCAACACTGCTGATATCTTCACCAAGGCACTTGTGCCTTGTGATCATCAGCGCTTCTGTACTCAGCTGGGTCTTGTGCCCACCTTGCCTCACTTGCTCACCCCTTGACCTTGTTTGTACTGATGCATCTATATATATACTCCTGCTCTTGCTTGTCTAGCCTTATATATATATGTAATCCTGCATGTGAGCTGGCCTTGTGG